TCTGACAGGGAGCATCAGAAATCTCTTTTCCTTCCTTCCCTTCCCTTCCTAGCAGTTGGGTAAGTGTCTGTTGCCAGGTGGGGGAGAGAAAAAGAGATTACAAGGCTAGCTGGTAAACTGCCACAGAATGTTGAAAGTAAAGAACTCATGACCACAGCAGCCACCAATAGCACTGAAGCAGCCACAATCTCCCCAAATTTAAATCCCGCAGAAGTCATGGGTCCTGGATTTTGAACATAATCTATTAGTCCATTTGAAGTAACTTGGTTCAAAAATTGTCCTATGATGCACTATTTTGCCCAGTTAAAGGTTATGACAAAGAGAATTTTAGTAGTATTATAAATAACAGTGGCTGTGCAAAAGCATTTTCATTCCCATTAAGACTTATTAGTTCTATGGTCTTTCCATGTTTTTTTTCCAGACTGAAAAGTAGCCTAGAACATGTTTTTTAGCAGCATCACAGAAATAGTATCTATACCCAAATTATAACCGAGATTGGTAAATTCTGCTCAGAGGTTTCTAAAGCAGTGGTTCTCAATCTTTTTAATGCCGCGACCCCCATCCGGTCGTAAGTCGAGGACTACTCAGCCGGTCGTAAGTCGAGGACTACTCAACTGGTGCAGCACCGTTTGCAGAATGGGACTTTTGGCGGGCTCAGCAGGGCAGAGACAGCCTGGACAATTCCTATTGGCTTTTGAAAGCCAATAGAATTAGACTCTATTCAAGAGAGTCTATTCTATTGGCTTTCAAAAGCCAATAGAATAAAAGGGAGTAGCACAGCTAAGGAAAAGGGGAAAAAATGGCGGACTGCATTGTTTGGCGACCCCCACGAAATGGTCGTTCGACCCCAAATGGGGTCCCGACCCACAGTTGAGAACCACTGTTCTAAAGGATTTGAGTGAAAAAAAGATATTTGTGTCGCAATTAGAAACAATGTTTTTTTGCACTCTACAAAGTTAAAATGTTTATTATTATTGATCATCGCACAGTCAGCCAGATGTTCAGACTGGATTTGGCATTTTGTCTATCTACTGAGTACTTACCCAGGACCTGGGGTAGGTAGATGTGGATGTTTGATGGTATTACAGATATTGTCGCAGGATGGAAGCAGTTCCTAGTAAGGCCACCTTTTGCAATTGACTAATAGTTATTATTATTATGGATCATCGCACAGTCAGCCAGATGTTCAGACTGGATTTGGCATTTTGTCTACCTATCGAGTCCTTACCCAGGACCTGGGATAGGCAGATGTGGATGTTTGATGGTATTACAGATATCGTAGCAGGATGGAAGCAGTTCCTAGTAAGGCCGTCTTATTATTATTATTATTATTATTATTATTATTATTATTATTATTGACATTACATTACAATCCCTGATAAGTTTCAGTTCCCATTAAAATAGTAAGATATTCTAAATTACCAGAATTTGCAGTCCTTAAAACCTTTGCTAAGTATAATGCTCTTAATCTAAGAATTTAGGTAGTTTAGAAGGGCAAATCTTTTGGGTGGCATGGGAGGGAAGGACTTTCCAGATGAAAATATGTGTTTATCCCTCTTTTAGGACTAATGTTACTGGTATTTGCTACAATTGGTGTTGATACTCCATTTCTTATACACAGAGATGCCATTCCATTTCTTATACACGCATTTACACTGAAAACATAAAAATATTGTTTTGTACAGCTTTGTGACTGCCAGTATTTTCTTGGTACCTATTAATATAGTATCTATCATTTGATAGTTACTGTGACATAAAATTCTTGTTTCAGCCAATTTTTGAAGTATGGGAAGGTAACAAGAGTTGTAACAAAACTTACATGTTAAAACCCATAATGTGTCCTCATTGTAGCAAAACTTATTTTCCAATGGTGGTACTTTGAGAGAGATAAAAGGGAAAGAAACTGGACCTGCTGGCGCTCATCCCTGGCTGCCACAATATTCCGTCACACATACACAATGTACCTTTTCATCCAAAATATTGTGAAAAAAATAGCATCTTCTAAAGCCTTAGTCCCTTTATTATTTTTTTTCTGACAGTTGGACCTTACCCATTGTGCTTGTTTTTCTAGTTCAACTTTTCAGACGGACTCACTCTGGTTCTCCACAAGACTTTTGCTCACCATTGCCTTTAGGCAAATTATGTCTGCTGATGAATAACCTGTTGTAGGACCACCTACTGGCAATTCAGGCTAGATCTGAATAATGGTGGGATTTATACTGGGTGAAGTGAAAGGTCCAGTCAGGTGTGCATTTAATACCTTCTGCAAAGTTTTGCAAGGTCCAGCTCATTACCTTAGATAGATTGAAAGCAGTAGGTCTTGATCAATATCAGCCTTCGACAGATTTACCTCCAAGAACATACAAGTCTTTGTGAGGAAGAAGCTGCAGACTTTTCTATGTGATATGAGTAAAAAAAAAAAAATCCCTCAAACTCTGTCTTCAGATAAAATTTAATGAATAAACTAAGAAAGAGTGAGTTGTCCTGAGAGGCAAAAAGCTGGTTACTATTTAAAAAAAAGAAAAAAAAGAAAGCTATTTCTCTAAGGTAGCTACTTGGGATATGCATGACATAAGATAAAAGAGAAACTTTATATTACTCATAAATATTCAGGTTTTTGTCACATTCTTTTAACGATGGAAGCAAGAGAGGAATTCATGCTTGATTACTAAGTGAAGCCTTTGGATAAAGGATCAAATGTAAGAGTTTTTGTGTGCTTTTAATTGAGCTACCTTTAGTTTACAAGACTGGACTGAAGAGATGAGGCAGAATAATAATGTTTTGCTGTGCTTTTAGAGCAGGGGTGTCAAACTCAATTTCATTGAGGGCCACATCAGCATTGTGGTTGCCCTTGGGGGGCTGGGTGGGTGCAGCCTACTGGATAGGCATGGATGGAGTGGGTGTGGCTTACTGGGTGGGCATGGCCAGCTCTACATCGTTCGTGTCAAGGGTGCCTGTGGGGGCCTGGGCAGGAGTGGGACAGATCTGAGAGTCTCTGGCAGAAGGGGGTGGGACCAGGCAAGTGCCAAGGCATGGTCCACTGGAGGAGCCTCACTGTTCTTCTCAGGCCATGCGTGGGGGGGGGCTGGATGGTGGTGCGTGCTGCCCGGAGCCCTGGGCAGCAAAGGAAATGCCTAGCATGGCCCTTGAGCACCCGCGGCACCAAGCCCAGCCCCACTTCCCCAAGGGGGTGCCCAGCTGTGGTTATTTCAAGGCTGCTGCTGCTGTGCTTGCTCTCCTTAGCCAGGTTGCTCATGATGGGTACAAGGGCAAAGTCAGAGGGAGGCCCAGTCCCTCTCCATGGGAGTAGACCCAGATTTGTATTCAAAGCTTCCTTAGCAATAGGATGGGAGATTCCCAGGATAGGCCAGGAGGAGGAGGCAAAGGGATGGTGAAAGGGCAGCAGAGCAGGACTAAGGCAGGAGTTTCCTCAGACCCTCCCTCTCCTTCTTTCATTCTTTCCTTCCAAGTACAGAGTGGTGGGAAACTATTTGAGATGAGGGAGGGAGAAAAACAGGCAAGAAACACAGCTGGGGAGGTGTCACCCTTTGTGAGGAATGAAGAAATGCACCATCACCTGGAAGTAGCCAGCTTCACCTACTTCACATATCTGCTTGGTGGGCTCTGGGAGAGGGGATGCCATGAGCAACGTGAGAGTCAACATTACCTGTGCAATGCCGCCCAGCCCCCAGCCTGCTCTGTCTCGGCAGGCAGCGGGGCGCTCTCCTCACAGTGCCGGGAGGTTGAACCGGGCAATGCGAAGCTCGTCAGCTTCGCACCTTGCTGCCTGCTGAAACTGGGCAGACTGGGGGCTAGGCAGCATTGCACTGCTCATCAGATTCGTGCCACCCAGCTCAGCTCTTGGCGCTGTGAGGAGAGCGCCCTGCTGACTGTTGAAACTGGGCAGGCTGGGAGCTGGGTGGCCTTGCGCTTCTTTTTGGATTCATGCCACCCAGCTCAGCCTCTTGGTGCTGTGAGAGCGCCCTGCTGCCTGCTGAAACCCCTCCCCCAGAGCCCATCAAGCTGGATAGGTGAAGTAGGCGAGGGCCATTTGCTGGCCACTTCCAGGCAATGGTGCATTTCTTCATTCCTCACAAAGGGTGACACCTCCCCAGCATGGACCCAGGGGCGGGGCCAACATAGCAGGGGCTGGTTTCTCACTGTTTCCAGATGGTCTTATGGAGCTAAGACAATGCATTTCAGCATAGACAGCCACCACAAAATTGTACATTGGCTCCCGGCCGGCCAGGGCCAAGGCAGAGGGAGCTGTTCCCTCACTGTTTCCAGGATGGCTTTGCGGGCCACATAAAACCACTTAGTGGGCCGCATCCAGCTCCCGGGCCTTGTGTTTGACATGTCTGTTTTAGAGAGAAGCTTTGTTATGTGCTTTGAACTAAATCAAACTACCAAAATACTGAATATTATTGAAGGGAGAATCTAATATACTTAATCCCACATTTTCAGAATCTGTAGAACATAAACTCTTTTGTTCAACTGGGCCATAAATTGTGTTTTGAGCAATCACCATGCTTTCTTCCATGGAGAATAAACCCCATACAAATCACTCTTTCCATAGCTTATTGTGGGTGGTCTTAGGCAGAAGTTGCAAGTCAATTGGCACATCAGCCATCCCTAGCCTAGGCTGCCCATTAGGATAGAATTGTTTGGATGGAAGACTACTAACCTTTTAGATATCAAAGGTATTGAACATAGGTCAAGTCTTTTGTTCATCCTAGGTCACTGTTGCATATCTATGCCCTTGATTTTATCTTTTTTACATCCTGCACTAGGGAGCCCTAGTTGGGCAGTGGTTAGAATGCCTGGAGTTTGAACCTGACAGGGCCAAAAGTTGACTCAGCCTTCCATCCTTCCAAGGTTGATAAAATGAGGAGCCAGATTGTTTGGGGCAATATGCCAACATTATAAATTGCCCAGAGGATGTTGTAAAGCACTATGGGGCGATATATAAGTCTAAGTGCTATTGCTATGAAGAATTGTTCTCCACAGTATGTCAGGATTTATTGATAGAAAATCTCAGTACATGCTAGAAACACGTACATTGAAACAGTGTTTTCTGTTGATTCTTATTGTATTATTTTAATCCTTTTGCTATTTTCCCTGGCAACATTTATTTAACTTTTGGGAATTTGTACATCACCAAAACATAGTTTCAATGTTAATATGGTTTAAGTAATATTTTATTCTTGAAATGTCCACTTTTTAAACTTAATATTGCTTCTGATAGTGCAGTTTTGATAGTATTATAATAGTGAAGCCATTTCTTTTTGATCATAAATAGCATCTTAGTAAAACAATGAATTTTTATATTGAGATCTACACAAGTGATCAAGAATCTAATATGGTTTGCTTTAAAAACCAAACATTTTTACAGTACAGCAAATACATTTTATACATTTTTAAATCCCTCTTTTTTAGGAGCTACTACTTGACTGAAGAAAATGAAGCTATTTGGTAACATTTCTTCCTTTTGAAAAAGAGCACAAAGCAAAACCTAAATTGGCTACACGATGGGTAGGTAGGAGGGAAGGACTGGCTTTGCCCACGTAGAACATGGTTTTGGCAATTCATTGGAATCCTAAAATTCCATGCTGAAAGTCCTTCTGTACATATATTTGCTACTGCAGGACAAAAATAAGTAGGAGTGGGTAATCAAATGCAATAAAGCTTTAAAAACGTTTAGACAGAAAAATCAGAAAATACAAATCTATCTTAAATGCTATCTGGTTCAAGTGCCAGTCTGATTTATGCCTTTTGCAAAACTTACCTTTTTTAAACATTTACAATTTTCTCTTGAGTAATCCCAATTTATACACATATTGGAAATTAGGATTTGCCCATAACAATAAGCTAAGCTAGGATTCTTTTTGCTTATTTTTAAATTATTTGAACATCTGAACTCAACCCAAGCAGCAACCCATGGCTTATATGGCAACTAAGCGCAATGTGAAACACCATGGTTCATTTTAATCAAGGCTTGTTGATTACCGATTCTGAGCCCAGAATCCCGGCTTATTCGTACATTGCTGCTTCTACTTTATCTGTCCAATGAACAAAAGGGCAAGGCAAGAACACCTATCTGACTCCTAAAACCCTTTCGAATGAATATCCATAAATGCTCACACATACACACAGACAAAATCACACCACAAAAATCCTCCAAACATACACTCTACACCAAAATACCTCACAAAAGTGAAACAAACTGATAAAAATGCACAAGACTTCTAAACTATTAAAGAATCTCTCACACATAAAACCCAACAAAAATAACCCATACACAGGAAATCCCCCCCACAACCTCACACAAACACATCGTGAGCCCTGCAGCATCAAAAAAAAAAAAAAAAAAATAGATCAACAAACCATGCTTAAAAGACCTGCTGGTTTAGTGTTATTCATGAGTTTAGCCATTAATTTTTGTTAACAATTTGTTTAATGATCTCCTGTATATGGTTTGTCGTACACCTCTTTCAGACTTTTTTCCCAGTCTGCACTTGAGGCTAGCTCACTTTGTATTCAGATCTTAATTTTTTTTGTTTTTTCACTATGCCTGATGATGATTCCTATCTTTGAATCTCTGGCCCTACACCAAGCCTTTGGTTATAGGGAAAAGCCTTATCAAGCCTTCTTCAATTATTATATCCTTTCAAATAAAGACAAAATGTAATGGAGTAGTTGAATTATAGGATTAAGACTGGAAAGATTGAGCTTGGATCTGCTTCTAACATCCATTCTTAATGATGGAAACTCACTGGTATGACCTATGACCAATCATTTTCTCTCTTATCCCAATCTACCTCACACACCTGTTGTTATAGCAATAAGATTGGAGAAGACAGAGAAATACATTAAAAAAATACTACCTTCTCAACTGTTCACAGATTTTACTGCAAAGGTTTTTGAGCATCAATGATTGGACAAAACCCTGGGATACTGCAAGTGGTTTCTACAATGACCTGCACTTGTTCATGAGAGGTAGTGGACGGACTATTTTGGTCTAGCTCTCACCCTTTGCAAATTGAGAGCACAGTCTTGGTTATTCATCCCTCTCTCTAACCCAAACCATTATTCAGGAAAACATTTCATACTTCAAACTGTTTGTGGGACAGTATTCTCACTGGAGGAAAAAAAAACACCAGTCAAGTTTCCAAAATCATTCCTGTCACATTGGTGACTTTTGGTTATACAGTATATTAGTAATGGGACAGACACAATAGATTGGAAAAGGATCAGTGGTCAACGGTTCAACTAACACAATTGCTTGTGCAACATTTGTGATAATTTCTGAAGTTCTCCTGGGAGACTTCAGGGTGAGAAGTCGTCTAGCAGAAATGGAGGGTGCTATGGAATTAGGGAACTCACATCACTTGCTGTGAGTGTAATATTTGCTGCCCAGTTCTTGCAAGATTTTAAGCAGGCAACAAATAGAGCATCTGGGCTCCAACCACCCCTTTATTTAAAACAAATATCTGCATGACTATTACATAAAATACTACCAAATGTAGGAATGTACCATATGCTAAGATTCAAATTTTAATTCAGTAATTTGTTATTTTCTTAAAGACTACTAAATCCTGTTTATGATACAAGACATGTCTTTGTTTCTGTTGTATCTGCTCTGAGTTGACAACTCAGAAATATTTAGTCACTTAAAGGTAAAAGATTACCAAAGCTGACAATCTTTTTAAACCTATGACCATAGATTTAAAAATGCCTTTGTTTCTTAAAATAAAATTTAGCCTGAAGCCTAGATAAATGGCATTCTCAAAAGAGTTCCTTTCTGTAGTGCTATCACTTGACCATCAATTACCAGATATTAAAATAATTCAGATTAATTTTGCAGCATGTGTTAACTGAATTCTATTTTAACTTCACAATAGTTGGGTAGCTGAACATCTGATTCTCCTACTGTTTTCCGGTCTGTCTCAAATGATTTGGCTAATCAGAGATTATCGTTATTTTTCATATGCAATGCTGCACCTAAATTATTGCTTGTGTCAGATGTTGAAGTACTTGGCTGTAGACTTCACACATGAGAGTGATGTGTTGCACCCCCACAGGGTGAAAGAGAATGACTACAATACCCTCTGAAGTGCTACGAAGGATTGCTTATACTTACCAATGTTTTTCACATATAGACCAGGTTTCTTCCCATCTGTTAAGTTTGCTTAGATATGTGTTTAAAATTAAGGAATATTTGGTGTTTTCTATATTATTTGGGGATGGGTGGATTAGGATACAAATTGGAACCCATCACCATGTTCTAATGTCTCTAGGAAATTTGTTTACTCTTCTTCTGGACTGATTTGCTTTGGTGCCAGTTGAGCATCTCAATGTTCCAGATCTTATTTTTCACTTAGGGGGCTGCTGTAATAATGAAAGTTACATAGCCTCTTCTGTCTTCGCACTATACTTTGCTTTCCTTGCTAGAAGTGTCAGCAAAGCATAGATCTCTTCCCTATCAGATTGGGGAAGCAACCCTACTAGTGCAAAACAGCCTCTCCCATGCAACATTTTGGCTTGACATATTAGAAACGTCTACAATACTGCCTTCCTTTCAAAGCAGGAACACAACAAAAACAATACCCAAATGTATTGCTACACAAGCCTATACACCTGTCTCTTTTTGTGTATGAGCGTGCAAAACATATTTCATCTGAAGGCCACCAGATTCTTATACACAAAACATAATTCTATTATGTCTGGCAACACCGTGATGGAACACAATTTTATGCTGCACAAACATACACACAAAATAGTATGCACATGTTTTGAGGACAGACACACACATACGTACATACATGAGCAAGAATGTATATTTTGATTAAGGATCTTGGGAAATAGACATTCTTAGCAAATATGGATGACAGATCAATTGTAATTTATTTTCTTTTAACACTGTATCATCATAAAGAAAACTGGTATAAATGAAAAAAAATCTATTTCAAATATCTACATCTAAAATTTTAGGCAGTGAAAAAGCACTTTGTTGACAAGGAGTGTGGAATGGTGAATGTTAATTGTCAGAAACTGCTGAATGCCTTTTTTTTTTTAGTTGCCACAAACAAATTCACATATCAGAACGAACAATACTGCTAAATATCAGTTTTTGTTTTTTCCTGTTAAAACATACTGGGGAAAAGAAAAAAGGAAAAGGAAAAGAAAAAAAGAAAAAAACCCCCTCCCCTACCCCTGGAAATTCATACATATCTCAAAGTTGTGTAATTGAAGCAATATTTAGAACCACAGATGAAGAAACACCGTGGCATTGATGTAATATACACAATGCACTTTGCTCTCTCTCTCTGGTTTTTAAATCTGTAATGTACATCAAATACTTTACAACAATGCATTAACAAAAGGCAAGAAACATCTTGCTGTACAGAGAAAATCCCAAATGCAACTTGAAGCCTAAATTCACAATGGATGAAGAGAGGAAACAAAGGGTGAGAAGCTGTCCCCCATAAGGTTTGTAAACTGTTCGTTTTCTTGTGCTTAACTCTGGACTCACTTCGTTATAACTTCCCTAACTTCCTTCAGCCACATTCAGTGTACAGAACTATTTGTTTTAAACTCTACATTAAAAGGTCAACTGCAAAGCTGCCCTCCCCCCCAGTATATTTCTATATCTATATTTAAGAGATAGGATTCTATAGATACAGAAATAGATACACATCCCACTCTTTCTAATAACACTCCCGCGCTTAGTTTCCCATTCTTTTAGCCATCTAAAGATACCTTAATTGTTCCAGATTGAGTATTAGGGCCTTCCTACGGAACAGGCTTTAACAAACTAAATTTGCAGGAAAAGAATGTCTTGTGATATGCATGCACATGCACAGTTCCTGGACCTCTTCTTTTTTTCTTGCCCAAAACTCAAACCCAGGAATCTGGAGAGGCTGGATAGTGGCTTGTTTCATAATTGAGTTCACTATAGGGCCGAGCAGCAGAGTAGAAATCAACGTAGTTGCCAGTGGACTTGAGCCCCAGGTGCATATTGTACTCGCTGGCAGGTGGGCGATGATGCACTTGATCTTCAAAGAAGGACTCATCATAGTTTCTTGATGAATTTTGAAATGGCTGATATGGTTCGTATTCCTTTCTTGTGGGCTCCTGTGGGACTGGCTGTGTTGAAACCTGTCAACAGAATAAGAAACCTTGGCTTGTTAGGGAAGACTATAATGATAGGAAACAAACTGCCATGTCACTTAGAGGGCAGAGTGAGGTTCCACTTCAGTGCGACTTATTAGACAGACAATGTGAATGTCATCAACATTTCAGCTGCTATAGAAAACATCTTAGTCTTCCTGGATGAATGTCACTATTCTGCTTGATCTTTCTGCAAAGATTGCTTTACATTTGCATTTGCAATCACTTTTAACAGAGGTTTTCCTCAAAAAAGGAGTAAAATAAACTCCACATTAAACTTTTACAAATAACATGCTGTGTGGGTGAAGGATCTCAGATTGCAGAATGTGAAAAATATTAAGAATGCTTGTCCATTTTTTTTCTAATTAAAATTTTACTATGCAATCACAAGGAATTTGAAATATAAGAAAGTGGAAACTGAGGTTTTTCTAACATTAAAAAAATACCCTGGCTGCATTCTTGCAGTAATGGTTTCAGGCCAGAAAGCTACTTATAGAGACATTTAGTCCACAATCACATGGAACAGTCCTTCCAAAGGTCATATTGTGGGCAAAGTAACACTACCATCTTTTAAGTAAGTGGCATAGTGGTTAAAGGCTCTTGAGCTAGAAACCAGGAGACCGTGAGTTCTAGCCCTGTCCTAGTCATGAGGCCATCTGGATGTCTTTTCTCTTAGCCCTAGAAAATAGGCAGTAGCAAACCACTTCTGAAAATGCTGCCAAGAAAACTGCAGGGACATGTCTTATCAGCTACGTAGAATCAAGACTGATTTAGGTACACACAAAAGTTGGAGATGAAATACATAATCCACTATGTGTCTTCATTTACATAATGATAGCCATTTTTTAAATTGTGAAGGAATTTAGATCCTCATTGAAAGCTAGTAATCTGAGTTTTTAAACTACCACAAAACAATCTGTCACTGAAAGCTCTTTTCACAAATATATAATTACTGTTTGCCATTTTCATGAGAATTATTATATAAGTTGCATTTCCATAATTTACTGATAAACATAGCATTTACCAGGACAGACTGGGAAAAGTTCATATCTGGGAAACATTGAATAGTTTTTCAGCTATGATTCTTTAAAATTACTGCAGCAATATTAATCATTTTTTTTAGTTCAAAAGGGAATAAATTGATTTACCACTTACTTGGTTGTGTTTGATGTCTTCAGCAGGTGCACCGTAAGAATTTCTATACAAAGTAGAGAGTCCAGAATTCTGACCTAGAAGTGTGAGAAATAGGGATTATATTACTAGGCAAAATGGTAATTATGTGTGTGAACTAATAGTGGTGGTAGAGTAAATTCAGTAAGCCTTTATTAGCAATGATTTACTGATCCCCACATGAATCATCTATTAGAAAGAACATGTGACCGATATGTTTGTACTTCATCCCTTTTATATATTAGGAAGCTAGAAATCTTTATGCTGTACCAAAGCCAGCCAGATACTTACTACATATAGATTTCTGGAAAACATTTTAACAGTGAGAAGTACCTGTGAAATCAATCTCATATCAATGACAATTGACTCTGTCTGTCTAGGATGTATTAGCAGAACAGAGATTAAGGGATGACAGCACACTGGAAAAAGAGCAGTTGTGTGTAGGAATGTTTTGCTAAAACATTCTGTGCTTTACAGAGCCATAAATAAATATATGAATGTTCAGTTTAAAGCTGTATCAAGAAGATTGCGCTGTCACAAGAAATTACTTTTTCAAAACCTAATGCAGCATATAAACTCCTGGTTCAAGAGAGATTTGATTCCTGAACTTTTCTGGGAAAATGTGTTTTGTTTATTTAAGGTATTATATACTCCGATGCTCAGCCCAAAAAAATCTGACTTTCCTTGCTGTCATATTTGTTGGGGAAAAACCAGAGAAAGGGTAGACATACAATGATAGATATACACAATATATCTGATAGTACTTTTAAATGATTTGTGCCAGTTGTTATAGATATAAATAGAACATTACATAATTATGCTGAGTGTATATATTTTACATATATAGTAATCTTGTGGTCTTAGAATGTCTGGCTACCTATTACTTTTAAAAGCTAGTTATTCTAGCGGATGGTGTCAGGGAAGCAATTTTCTCAGTATTCAAACAATGGTTACTAGTACGAAAACTGAATGACTTCCTTTCCTATCTAAATGAGGAGAGAATAATCTCCAGTTTCCTGTGAGGTACTCTATTTTATAACTTGTATGGGTTGTTTCTGAAGCCTACAAGCCAAATATAGCACTCTATTTAGTAAGTGTGCGTTCAGTTAGGATTAAGAGTCTAATGTGTGGGCTGCTAGCAGCCAAGTGTATTCCTTTACGTTCCCCCAGATATTGTCCACCAGCAACAAATGTCGATCAAGGTACAAACCGTGAGCATATATGTGTGTTACAGAAATACATTTATGTGTAACAAGTCATGAGACACTATGTATATGACAAAGTGTTTACTCACTTTGACTTTATACCTGGAAATCATCTAAGAAGATGTGATGAGATTTGTAAATGCATGTTAGGCAAATATTAAAATTCAATAGTAAATAACTAATTAAAATATTTATCAGTCATCATTTTAAAACTGATACAAAATTAAATTAAAAACTACCAGCTTCTTGGGGGGGGAAAACAATCAGTCCTCCACGAATGAATGTACCTTTAGCTAATAACTTCAAAATTAGCTCTGCTTTTCTGATGCTAAGATTCTAAAGCTATCATATTAAACAGACAACAGCAGCTCCGGAACAAGCATCCTTAATATCTTTCATTAAGTATCAAGAACCTGAACCCCAACATATAGTAGGTGTATCTGGAATTATGCACACATACTGGTTTTATGTTCTTTCCAGCATGTAAAGAGGAGTTTAGGAACCCTGAGTAGTAGTTGGTTTCAAAATGCTCTTGAAAATGCAAGTGTTACCAGTAAACTAATCATAATTATTTAAAAGATGTCTTGACACATCTCTTGTGTTCTTTTGTTGGGAAGGTCTTATAAAGAATTACATGAGGTTGTATCAAAACAAGACTGAAGAGGCCTAGTGCTTTGAAGAGATTGTGCAACTCACCACATCACTAACTAATCACATCAGATATTTTTACAATGGGACTGCAATTTCAGGTTCAAGAGACTTAACTCAGAGAACTGCAATCACCAGACTTGACAATAATGGATTCAGTCTCTGGCAGCTCATGCTACAGCTCTACAATTTCCCTCCCTTTTCTCACGAGAGCTGCTTCAAATGTAAGAGTGGCTCTATATTCCTAACAGTCTCCTGTACCATGTACACTGAAGCTGTGATCAAGACTTAAAAAAATATGACTGCAAATTATCTGTCAGAGTTTAAAAAGAAAGGCTCACAATGCTGAGATTTCATATCATGCTTTATTGAACTGTTTAAAGTTTGGTTGATTCTGGTTTTCTTTCATGTTAGTCGAAGGCTCTTTCTCAAGATGGTAATTCATTTCATACATAAGCAAACAGAATAATTGTTAGTTTATTTAGTCTTCATCTACTCTTCAGATTTGATGTGGTAATCATCTGCCACAAGCTCTGCTCTGGTAGCCTGTAAAAGCAAATAAGATTTGTAATCTCTGTTCATAACCAGACAACACAAGCTATTATAGTTAACATTTGTTTTGGCTTGAATGTCTAGTCTCATAATCTGGCAGAACAAAAATGAGACTCCTACCTTTGACTGTGCATCAGTATTTTAGCCAAATAAAATGCAAGACAGGGAGCAAGGAGAAAGAAAGAAACATCACAAGACCTGGAGTAACAAAATCTTGCCAAAAGTCACTAGTTAAAAAGTGAGAAAAGAAAATGATAGACTAGCTACCTTTGCATGGAACAGGTTAATAAATATGCTCCCACTGTAGCACTACATCAGTCTGGCCTTTTACACTGCTCAATTAGATTCCAACAAGCAAGACTCTACTTATAGCTTTGTAAGGAGCAGTCAGTCATATACTTATACACACAACCCAGGCATGCACTGCGGGATAGTGAGTGATAAGATGGTATAAAAGCAGCAGATCCCACTATAAATTTGCTTCAACAAGGCCTTAACTCTACACCCATAACATCAGAAATATGAAGAGTCAGCACAACAAATGTGTGGTATTACTTTACACTAGGGAAGAAGCTAAAATGGGCTCTTAAACAGTCAAATCCAATTCTAAACAGTACCTTATCTGTTGTTGTTTTGTTGTTCCTCGAAGTTCTTCTACCTCTTGATGAATCAATTATCTACTGAAAGATTCATGGGCTTCAGATGATCAGAACTATTGTTCTCGAAGGGTTCATTTCATCTTTTGGCTTCATTAGATGACATTTGGGGTATAGTATAGCACATGGTGTCATGGTATGATGTAATGGAATTGCTGTTTACCAAGAAGCTTAGAATGATGAGACTGGTTTCCTATTATCAAACAAAATTACTGAAAGGAACAGCTGTCAAGCATCATAATCTAGAGCAGTAAACTCACTACAGTTAACACTCAATAACCTAATGTTTTTAAATAGTTTTCCTCCAGCTTGTCTTTTTACTCCCTCGAAATACATATTTAGGTAAGGATATTTCAATTGCTCCAAGAATTTGATGGGATTCTGTGAGGAAAATAAGGACCCCCCCAAAAAATTTTTTTATTCAAAGATAACCAAGGGTATATACAAGATTTTTTAAAAGATATAGTAGAAAAGGCAAGGCTTGTCAGCTTACCTTGGAGCCTCTCTCTTCCTAGAACAGGCATGTCAAACTCGCGACGTCACGGAGCTTTTTCGCCATTGCTGGCATTGGGATGGGTGTGGCTCCGGTATGATGAAACCGGCCTGTGGGCTGGCAGTTTGACACCCCTGTCCTAGAAGGATGTTTGTGCTCATTATGGCTTTGCCTCTGATTAATTAATTTTTTAATTAACAGATTTTTCATGCTGGTAGAATTTGAAAATCTCTTGTTTATATGATACCATCTACAGGTGTTCTTATTATTAGGAAACTTCCTATTATTCCTATTCTAATAACTTTAAAACACTGAGAGATTATTAGCTTCAGGTTAAAGTTAGTTCTGTGCTACACCTGTCTATGGCTTGTCAATAAAATTGATAAATGTTACCCTTTTCTCTAAGCAAATTGTTTTGGTCTCCTTAAAATATTCCCTGTAGAGACAGATGAATAGAAAACTAAACTCCCTTTGCTCTGGTGACCATACTCTCATATTCATCCCAGAAAGCCATTGATAAAACTTTATTCTGCTGAAAAAAGAGGTTAATAGAGGATGTGTAATAAAGATAAAATTGTCCATATAGTGAGGAAGAAGTAATAAGGTGGTGCAGAACTTCACAACTGACAGGATATCATTTAGCTCAGGGGTCCCCAAGTCCATGGACTGACACCAGTCCGTGGCTCACCAGGAACCAGGCCGCACAAGCGAGCAAAACCCCATTCACGCACACACAGGATCCAGGCAGAGGACGAAACCATGCCTTCCTGGTCTGCAGAAAAACCATCCTTCACAGAATTGGTCCCTGGCACTGAAAAGATTGGGAGCCACTGATTTAGCTGACTACCCATGACTAAAAAAATATCCTTAAAATCAATAACATTAGTTGCTAAAATAGCAATTTCTTATTAGCATAATAACCAGACAAATCTAAAACATTCAGGCTGATAAATGGCGGAATTTTGAAGAAATGAATGGACATAGACCAATGCAGATTCCCTTTTTTTTCCCTTAAGATCCTTTGAAGCATTAAAGAAAAGGGTTCTCTTCCCACCAGGGCAACGATGAGCTTTTTCTCTGTCTCATGATAACATAAGGAGAAAAGATGATGTCCGTATGCAAAGTGCAACTGTTTGCCCAATAGAGGCCATTGCATTTATACATATGCGGTATTAGAGTTCTTCCAGATGATGTCACAGATATAACACCTGGAAAGGCAAAGAAGCTCATACTGTATAATGAATTTAAACAAATGAGTGAGGTTATAATCACCAATAAAAGGTATGGCATTAAATCATCCATTCCCAGCTTGATATGTTCTACGTATAATGCTCTCAGATCCCCAAATGTCTGACTCCCATCAACCGCAGCCAAAGACAGTGGATTATGGAATTTATAGACTGAAATATCTGGATAGTATTAGTATGCTTACATGCAGCTGAAATGAAATCTACTCTGAGCTACTTTTTGAAACAAAATATTTCTAAATAAATGCTGATTTTTCATGTCAACTTGCCAAATGTATTAGACCGTTTATCTGTGGTTGGGTGGCATTCAGTATGCTCTTCTGCCATGCAATGTTTAGGACTTTTATTTTGAAATGAAAGAAATACCTCATAGAACTCTTTTATGTCCCTTTTCAGAAAACAGCATAAACTTTGCATTTTTAAACAGCAATAAACACAACGATAAAATTAAGCCAAAAAACTTTGTCGGAAAAAGCTATTTAGCATGTGTTAAAGAGAAAAAATTATATTCCCTAAAGATAATGCAGAACTGTAAAAAAAAAACCCCTTAGTTTGTCACAAGCAGTGATTTACTCCACATGGGATGAATGACAGTATTATAATCTTTGCCAAAACACAACAATAGCTAGAGATGATTGTGTGTACTCTCCAATATTATTATTAAGCCACAATAAGTAGTTCATACATAACATCCTTCAGTTTAAAGTAGTGTTTTACATCTTTCAATTTAAAGCATGCTAGCAGAAAAATTCTGGGAGCTGAAGCTCACATATCTTAAAATTACTAAGGTTGAGAAATACTGCTTTAAAGGAAGGAGGAGGAGAAAGAGGAACCTCTTTTTCTTTTATAGGGGAAATACTATTGGGATGCCAGATTCCTATAATAAACATTATGGTGCAGAGAGTAAAGGCTTGGAGTTTTGAAACAAAAGTTTAAATTTGACATTCAATAGATGTACAAATTGAATTCAGTCACATTATTGCCTCCAAATGATTAGCAATATTTGAGTGGAAGACTTTAATGTAGTTTACAGAGTGTAAAGCTTAAAACATGCTTACTAAGTATATCTGGATTATCAACAGAGTCAATTCTGGCCCAGAAGGTTTCCTTCCACAATGTTTACATATCACATACAATTTCTAGCTCACCTGTCATGGTGTCTTTTCTAGAAGTATGCTCCCCTTTATTCCCATGGTAAGTAGCATTTGTTCCGGTTGACTCATAATCTGTTTTTCTTTCTTTTAAACTGATCATTTCCCGAGGGGAGGCTGGGGCACTTGCTACAAACAAAAACAAATGCAGATTTTAGAACTCTGATGGAATGGGTTATGCAGTAAAGTATATGAACACATGTTCTAAGCAATGCAGTTAGCTTGAAAAGAATGAATCTCTTTTGAGATTTAGTTTCATTTGAAAATCTGTGGTAGCTGGACATATATAAAACTCTTAAACGGAAATAATCTTGATCATATACCTTAGAAATTAAATTTAACATATTGTCTTCTCATCAGCTATTCAAAATCTTTGTCTTATAGAAGAGGAAAGGTAAAGCCACTGAGATAAACCATGACAGCTGCTGAACCCCATTGATACAGATCAGATCAATAAATGGCATCACACAAAAAAGGGATACAATAATAATGATGATGTCACTACAGGCCAAATATGGTACTCCTGAACCTTTCTAGAATTATTCAAAGGCACCCTTGTCCATGAATTCTTTAGAATTTGTCATAATGGGAGAATGTGCACATAGCCTTTTCATAATTCCCACAATACTGTCAAACTATCTAGCAAGGTTGTATTACTATTATTCTTCTCATCTTTCCTATTACCTATCTCCTTATCTCCTTATGACTTTAACTTTGTTGCTTGTATCTTACGATTTATAGTTTTATTTAGTAACCAAGTATGATTTATGTTGATTGCTTATTAGTATCCTATATCACTAAGTGTTGTATCTTATGATTTATGATGAATGTATTTTTACAATGACTACGATCATGATTTATCACTTATTGCTTGTATGTACACTGATAACTTATGCATGGGAGACAAATTCCTTGTGTGTCCAATCACACTTGGCCAATAAAGAATTCTATTACGATTTACCACTTGGTGGCCCAGAATCACGCTGGTATTCTATTTATGTTAGTTTAGTTTAGACCCAGATCTAAAATAGCACATTATGAAATTTAATATACCCAGTACTTATTTGATACTTTCAAATACTTTCAATGTTGCTTTTTGTTAAGATACAGAGCGGCAAGGGTAAGTTTTGGCTCAAAGCAAGAGATAAATGGAACATCATTTGATTATTGATTAAAGACAGTATTCTGCTCCATTTTTACCAATTATTAAAGGCTTCTCTAGTTTCCTTTCTTTTAGGCAAAAAAAGGAGTTTTGGAAATTTAAACTTTCTGCTGTGATTTCCTGATTCTTTTCTTCCTTTATGTAGCCCAATATCTCTTTTTTAAAAAAAAAAATAAGCAGTGTGGTTTCAGGCTGCTCCTTCAGGACCAAATAGCCTGATCTAGTCATACACGATTGATCCCTAAATTTAGCCACCAGCTAGCAAATATGATATACATGCCTTTTCATGCTATGGGATCATCAAATCAGGAGGTGTTGTGGAATGTGTGGACAATACACTTTGAGATATATTCTTTCAAGAGGCATGTTCGTAATCTTCCAGATTTGTATTTCAGATAGCAGTATAGCAGTATACCTTATACATAAACTCCACAAATAAATGCTTTTCTTTCAAGTGAAACTATTATCAATGTTGCTATTAATCAAACATAGTAATCAATTTCTCTAGGCCCAGATAAAATTGTCATCCAGTTTGCCACCCTTGTCTCTTTATGTTGCAAATTAGCTAGATTTGTAATGTTTGGTGAAGTTTTTTGATCTGTCTTTTCCAAAAGGGGAAATCTGTTAGCTATCTCAAGGACTTTGATTCCAGCAAGAGCCTCTTCCAATTCAAAATAAATGCATACGCCTTCTTTGCTTGTTCACAGACCATGAAGATGAAATCAGTTTCTTAAGAGAAAGCACACAGGGGTCTGATGTATGTTTTCTCCTTACCTGAGATTTGAAAATCTTATTTGCTTATTCTGTTAGGGCTTAAAAAAACTAGCTACATTTTCTTCTTTCAGCCTTCTCTGCTCTTTCCCAGCAAAAATTAGCAGATCTTGCAATTAGTTTTATAGGTTTCTGAGTAGGGTTCCCAATTTTTTTTCTGATGAAGAATCTTTGGCTGCTTGAAATTACTCAAGAATCAAACAAAAATGTCAATAGCTATGCTTCGACAAAGGATTTTTTGCAGCCACGCATCCTTGGGATCTTCATATTGACCAGCTCTTTTGAATGAACAGTGTAGAGAACTTGAATGTTAATGTTTTATATGCTTTTTGCCATCTCACTGTTCTTTTATAAAGTTGAATTTGATTTTCTTCAATTCCATTTTGCATGAAATTTTGTATTTTGTCCCCTGTCCCATTTGCTATATATTCAATCTTCCTGGGGCCATACATTATCAGTTTGCTCCCAGTTATTATAAAATATATTAATAAATTGTGCCACAACCCAGTGAAAATGCTTAGTAATGACAGTTTATCTAAAGGCTTTAAGAAACATTAAGGAAAAACTCTGTGTGGCGAAATCCATTACACAATCTGAAATCTCTTCATAACTTGGGAGAGAACATTTTCAAAATAAAAATGAACACACCAATATGCAATCTTACATGAATTAGGCAGTGACAATTATCCGTTAGAATAGATAATATCTCCAGAATGTATTCAAACCAAAAGGAAGGGGAGAAAACAGAAGAATAAATAACCAAAATTTACATACTTTATTTATTTATGAGACTTATATACCGCTTTAAGTGCAAGCACTCTCTAAGCGGTGTACACCAGTAAGCAATGTATATATATATTTACATTGCCCCCAACAATCTGGGTCCTCATTTTACCTACCCCGGAAGGATGGAAGGCTGAGTCAACCTTGAGCCGGTGAGATTTGAATCGCTGACCTGCTGAACACAGTCAGCTAAAGTGGCCTGCAGTACTGCGCTCTAACTGCTGCGCACCTCAGCATAATAAATTCTATTATTTTCCACCAATATGTCACTCATGTTAAAATTGAGTAAGAATGCAGTTTCCCATGTAAGTAACCCCAATAGTACATAGCAGAACCCTGCTGCAATGAGAGGTTGGCCTCCATGGGTGGTTGTTACTAATATAAAATACTGTAGAGGAAAAAAAACCACAGCTCTGTAACTCTGTGCCCATAAGCCCATATAGCCTCCTTGATACAAAGATTCAAGGGTCATCCAAGCAAGAAATGGGAACCTGAATCCCAAGCGAAGAAAATGCTTCCACTTTCCATTTCTACAGCTTGAGAACAAAAATGCTCAGCTCCAGATGACAGAAATCAGAAAGTACAGATAAAAGCTGCTGAATAACTCAGATGGTATCTACCTGAATTGCTTGGTTGAATGTAAAGTACTGCTTCAGGCCCTGTTGGTCTACTGGCCTTCTGTAAGGTCTTAGGTTTTCCTCTAGGGCCAGACAATGTGTCAGATTGCTGGATAAGTCCATCTAGAAATGAAATGATTTGAATGGGAATATGTTGTTTTTAATCTCAGTTATTTTGTACTGAGTATCTTGTGTTCTGTTGCTGTTCTGAATTTAACAGCCATGTAAAATATCCACATAAAATAATACGGTAGTGTGAGGCAAGTAACACTTAGAAACACTAAAACCAAGTTGGTTTTACTGCTGCACAGTCCAGAGGCGTGACTTTCATATGACCACTAATCCCCCTCAGATCTGCCTAAAAGTAGTGCTTCTGGCCCCTTTGTGAACTCCCATAATCCAGGGAACAAGAATAATAATAAGGGGGAAGAAGCCATTGATCCTGGATTTGTATTCTGCCCCATACAATTCCATGCATATAGTATGGGACCAACTAAAAAATGAGCAAGAGTAGAGGAAAAAGATGTCTAATTTTGGACTGTTAGTAACAAAATCTATCTATCCAATCAAGCAGCCAAAAAAAACCCCGCATACAAGCAACAATGGCAAATACTTTATTGACCAGCATTTGGGAAAAAGTGGAACCCCAAAAATATGAGACATATTTTGTCAGCAGGGTCCTAGATACAGAGCTGGACAGCAAACATAGGATCTGGTGCATTTGCTGCATAACTGCCAGTCAATAGTATGTGGTTTGTCATGCAGGTTCTCAATTCTATGCATCCTTCTGGGCACAATAGCTGTTTGTAAGAAAATCTTTCTCCTCTCCTGTTTTTAACAGGCTGTGAGATAGTTCTTGTGTCTGGAGGACAGACTGTAGGAAATAATTGGAAATGGATAAGAATGATCCTCAGGCAGTGAGTGGAAGACATCTTTTTAAAAATCTGAATACATAGATATTTGTTGGCAGGAGAAGAGTGAATGATGCCATCTGATTCTTTGTCAGTGCTCGTACCTCAGCCTCCAACCCCGAAAGGGGAAAGAGACTTTGGTGTCTGTGAATATAGCCATGTTTAATGCCAAGGCAGCTATCTTTTTGGGGCCAAAGGAATGCATATGGCATTTTTGGGAAGCCCAATGGGTGCAGTGAGTGGGGCAATGATGCAAAGTGGTTGAAGCTAAATTATTTTTCTTGTTTGAATGAAGAGGTCTGTGCAATACCACTAATTTTCTGCAATAGTAGTAAAAGAAGAATCTGGGACCTCAAAAAAAGAAAAAGTTCATGTGGGTGCTGTAATGGTTTGTTCCGTTGTATACATGTATTGCTCTCTCAGGCAGAATTGTGCATGAGTGAAATGGATGTCAACAGCTGCAGTTTCATCAGAGCAGGGATAAGTGCTTTCTCTCTGAGTGCAAAAACATTTCCTTTTGTCATTACAGTGTAGGCAAGTCACCTTACTTACAAAGTCAATGAACACTTTGCTGTGATTGTTCTTTTTGCTTGCTTACCTGTGTGACTTGTACCCCACTTCTTGGAATGCAATTCGATGCTGGATATTTACATTCAGAATCCTTAGTACTCTCTTTGTGATTACTAAGCATAGAGGTTAGCAGCATATTCAAGTTTCTGATTTAGATAGTGTTTTTCCCACTAGTAAAGTTTCTTCTTGTGAAATTTAAGCATGCAATATAATAATATTAAACAAGAAATTAAAAAAAAGATGAGGAAGAGAATGTTTAATAAAGGTAACTTGGGTCTACTATTTAAATATTTAATATGGCTAAGCACAATACATTATACAGCAGATTAATTAAAATAAACATTTGTTCTCTGTGAGATACTGGTAATGAAATGAAAATGCAATGTAATTTTCCTGGACAAGCACTGCTATGTTTTCTCTCTTGCTAAATTCCTTTACACTGTTTCTGTGTAGTTAATGTGTATTTGTCAATGAAAGACTGGGACTATTCATGAATCTAAAATGCACTTGAGCATACCTAGTAACAGCATCCAAAGTTATATATGATACAAAATACCAATCATACTACACCACTCATTTCTGTTAGCTTGGAAGTTCAGCTAAATACGTATTGATTCAGTTCATAGTCAACATACAAAAACAGGAAGCTACATTTTCCAATTTGTCTGAGTTAACTTATTTTATTATCGTTTGCCGCCTAGAATAACTTGTTAAGAAGGGTGGCCATACAAATTGAGTTAATAAACAAATAAATTGCTTATTTAAAGGCAAAAGGACTTTGAGCAAAAAATATAGGAAACTTAATTTCTGTTGACTTATAATGCAAACTACAACTGAAAGAAGCTGTACAAGATTGGAAAAGGTGGAGTTAGTTGACTCTACCTGAATTAATCATAATTGTATTGATAGCATCATTATCAATGTAATGCAAACTAATAGGCTAAATTTATAGAAGTATCTGCTATAATGTATAAAGGTAAAGGTTTTTTCTGTCCAGCCGTATCCACCTCTAGGGAGTGGTGCTTATCTTTGTTTTTTTTTAGCTGAGGGAACCAGCATTGTCCAGAGACATTTCCATGGTCATGTAGCCAGCATGACTATATACCGAGGTGCACAGAACATTGTTACCTTTCCACTGAAGTGGTACCTATTTATCTATTTGCATTTGCATGCTTTAGAACTGCTAGGTTGACAGAACTGGGACAACTAAAGGAGCTCACTCCATCACGTGGTGCTTGGTTCTTGAACACAGGCTGTCAGCTTTCTAGTTTGCAACATCAACATCTTTAACCAATAAGCTATCACGTCCCCCTGCTATAATTGTAGTTAAGTAATGAATACAATAACATTAAGGTGAATTTCATCTAAAGAGGATTATAGAATGAAATAGCATGAACCTGGCCTTCCAAGAATAGGTCCTATGGATATTCTTGTACAAAACCCCATAGGATCATAAAATGTAATGGCTGGAAGGAACTTTGGAAATTATCTGAATGTTGTATCCTAAGAAAGTAAAAGTAAAAACAAATGATTGCTTTCCTTATGTGTGTCTTTTTTGCAAAGGTAATAACATTCCAAAATGAGTGCTTATTGACTGTACATCTCGGAAGAGTTCTAGGAATAAATAATTTAATATATTATTTTACTGATGTATTTTCATATATAAATATATGACCATTTGATCTTCTTTTTTATTTCAACTAAGAAATGACAACAGCATCCTAAGGAAATGAGCTCTAGTTGGTTTTATGAATGCTATCTTTCCTTTCTAAGCAGATCTACAGAAAAAAATATAGCTGATCTCTCCACTCTTCTGACTATGCTCTCCACTCTTCTGACTATGCAATTATATTGATACCTTTCTTTACTTCAACTGAAAATTTACCTCAAATAAATATTAGTAACACTTATGGAGGAAACATTGTTTTGGATCTTTGGAATCATTTCACACTTCTGCAGTGGGTATGTTTAAGTCTGTCTCCCTACAAAATAATCCAGGATATCAAGATATCCAAACCAGCCTACCCATTAGCTCCAGCAACTATGAACAATAATCAGGAACAACTATTACATGTACATATATTGAAATATAGTAATTATAATGTTTATAATGCATATGTTAATATAAATTATTTCACATATCTTCCTTTAGCAGGTCCATAATTATCAATAATTTACAAATAACCAATCAACGATATGGCTAAGTATAGATTTGAACCTAGATTACTAAAATAGTAATAAGTGCAATAATGTCTCAATTTGACAAAAACCACACAATATCAGAAATGGGAACGTCTTCTTTTCTGTTTTTTAATTTTTTTTATTTTATTCAAAAGTTAAAATACAAACTCACCAAAAAGCAAAGAGAGAATAAAACCAAACAAAAAAGAAAGAAAAAAACATTAATTTACAGAAAGCCTTTTTCACTAGAGTCATTGTTCCTGATCTGCCCTTGACTGATTCTTAGTAATAAAACTTGTTCTTAAGATTATTATTGGAGTTTTTCTATATAATTGCATCCCCCAAAGTTATAAATCTCTGTTGTAGATACCTTCACAGCACTTTTATTTTAAAAATTCCATGAGTTTTTTTAACCATCCCAGTTCCATTCTGTCATCTCTGGATTTCTTGGATTCATAGCCCTTTCCACCTTATCCACCAAATCTGTATGTCTATGAAGGTTCTCAGTCATCCAGGTCATGGCTGCCCAAAGGTGCTTTTTCAGGAGGCAACTGTATTTTCTTGTTTTTCTTGGAAGATGTTTTGCTTTTCATCCAAGAAGCTTCTTCAGCTCTAGCTGGATAGTGGGCAATGGAAGGATTTATATTCCTTGCAGACAGCTGGGAATTTGCATACTTTTAGATAGTTATTGAGGCCATTTGGAGTTTGCTTGTGTCCTCAGAGTCATCTGAGTAGTGCAAATGTGTGTGGAACCTTCTTGGCTGCAGGATGTTTTCTGTCCTGTGTCCCTTCACTGTTGAAGACAGGCTCAGGCTGTTGTGGACGAGTCTGTGTGGTTTCATCTCAAACTGAAGCACAAATGATTCTTGTAGTCTGCAATGTTTTCTGGAAATCCATTCATACTCCCACACCATTTGAAAGATGTTCATCCCAAAGTGCAAAACTAAATGTCTACGGAGATTCTCAGTCATCCAGGTCATGGTTGTCCCAAAGGTACTTTTTCATGGAGGCTACTGGACTTTCTTGTTTTTCTTTGAAGATGTTTCGCTTTTCATCCAAGAAGCTTTTTCAGCTCTGATTGGATGGTGGGGAATGGAAGGATTTTGAGGGAGTTTACTTGCCTCCTGAAAAAGCACCTTTGGGACACCAAATCTGTAATTTTCCAACAAAGTTTCTTCTCCAACTCTGTCGCAACAGATCAAGTTACAATCCATCCGATTGCAAATCTAATTCTGTTGTTGCCTCTATCTGAGCAGCCTTTTTAGGATGATTTACAATTGTTGTTGCTTCATTGAACTTATTATTTAAATTTTCAAAAAGAGCTTGTAAGGTAAGAAGCATTCTTCTTTCAAAAGCTTCCCAGAAAGCTTTTGTTGTTTTCATTTTTAGTGTAATGCAAAAACATAGACAATTCCTCTCAAGGGCAATCTGTTCCACAGTCAGCTAACTGCAGGAGGAATTGAGATAATTTTCCCAAGCATAGACAATAAATAGAAGAGATTAAATGAAAAGTTCCTATCTTTTTAAGAAACAAAAAAAGATCAGAGAAATTTTCAGAAATAAAATACAGTAAAAGGGCACAGTTTGTATAAAAAATGGTAAAACAAATTCCTTACTGTAAGAATCCAATGTAAATCAGTTTTCACTATGTAAGAAAAAATCTTTGCGCCATTGACAAAAGTTGAAAGTGTTTCATTATTCCAGGAAAAAAAAGCAGTAGTAAAGAATCAAAACTTCAGCTTTATAATCCAGCAAAGGGTAAAAATAGTTCAGCATTCAATCAGATGTTTAACATTTAAAATATAAAGCAAAAATGAAAGAAAGCAAATTAAAAAAAATAATGTTAAAATGAAGGCATAATTAAATATCCGAACAGCTGATAGCAAAGGATGGAGACCTGACTCTCCAACTGTTCTTACTGTGAACTGCAATCATCAAGATTCCTCTTCGCTGGTAAGTGAGCAGTCACCCAAGAGTCATCCGTGGTCATTCCTAGTTGCTCCTGTTCAATCTAGGGAGCATTTTGCCACCAAAGAGCCAGCTTTGGTGGTGAAATCAGCTGTTAGTCAGCAGGGAAAAAAAACCTCCCATCTGCTCAGAGCACCATTTTCAAAGGATTTCCCTTTTCTGCTTTATCCAGAATGTTTCGTGATGGCATCAAACATCCGTAAGACAGCAAATAGATAAACAATGAAAGTACCAAAGTACCTTTTCTATGCTTCATTACAGCTAATAATTCCCTTGCTAAAATTTCAGTTCTTGATCTGACTTTGATCAATTGTTTCCCTAATTATTCAATTATATATATCTGGTCTTACCTGAACGATTGTTGGGAGACATGCGCACTGGAGAGATGGAAGGTGTGCGTGAGGAAGAATATGGTCTTTGCCTATCCCTCTCTATCGTTGATGATGAAGCTACAAAATGATACTGTGACCATCCATCCTGCATGGGAACAGAATACAATAATAAAAAGGCTGAACAGAATATAAGTATGAAAGAAGATACAAGTATGAAATATTTATTTATTTAACCATCTAACTTAGGGGCTAGTCTTTTTCTTTATTAACAGGCAGGTCTTCCACATTATCTGTTTCTATATATTTTTTATACTTTAAAAAACCTTTTCTCAAAATATTTCTTTTGAAATATGCATTCAATGTAGATTGACTGGCTTTCCCTTCATCAATATGTAGACCCATGTGTAATGTAAATGTATGAGGACAGTCATATTCTTACATTAAAAATCTTGGATGAACATTATATATTATATATATATTATATATTTATAGGTGAATGCCCAATATGTTCATCTGGATCCAAGACTATGTCACCTTAATCTTCAGTAAATGATTTATTCATTAGAATAACTTCCTAAATTTTTAGCTGCTACAATCTAAGTTTTAAATCTTCAGATAGCTGAAAATTAGATAAAATATAAGAAAAAAAAACTGATTACTAAACCACAGTAAAAATAACCAGTAAAGGCTAGTGATAAAATCAACTGCTGAAATCAACCACATTCCTGCTTGGTAAACATGTTTTAGGAAAGTATATGAGATCTGGGACAAACTTGCTACATATTATTTATATTACATCTATATTATTTCCAGGTGCTAATGCTTATTTAAATATTAATCAATGTTACAGAATAGTCAGTCTTTAGAACAAAAAGATTAATTTTTGAACACCCCCATTGTTTTTATATATTGATATTGAAAGGAAAAGATTTTATATGGCTTTTCAAATTTAGGAGTGGTCAATCTGAGACCATGAAAGGATAACCATTTATTTTTAAAAAATAAGAAAGAGAAAACTAGGAGTCCAGTTTTAAAAATATTACAGAAGTATTTCAATACACAAATAGAGAAGAAATGCTTTAGTGAATTACATGAGTTCAATCACCCAACTCTTTTACTTAGATTTAGTTAGCTCACATTCTAAAGCTTTCTAAAAAGGGTGATAGATGTTTGAACACAGACTTATAAATGGCCTTAACTGACCACAGGAACACAAAATAAGTCACCTATTTTGATAGTTCAATCAAATATCTGGGTAATCCATGGGTCTAAGGTTTTTTTAAAAGCTGCTATATTTCCCCAAGATTGGGACACCAACATTTGACAGCAGATTTTGTGGTGTACAGCAGTGTGATTTCCTGTTAATTTTGGGGGTGAAATAAAAACCAAATGGTGCAGAAAATCTTCAATAAATCTCCATTTAAACCATATTTAACCATATGTTATATCTTAACACATTTATTTTAAAATCAAATCTCATTCTGAAGGTGGCATACTTTATATTAATAGTAAATGCATGCAGTAACTCTGTCATTTCCAAAAACAACAGAACAAACAAAAGGAAGACAATACTGATTCCACTCTATTAGTAACATGACCATTTAAGTACTCTGTGGCCCTTCAATTTTTTTTAAGATTAAAAAAAACCCCACTGGTTGCTAAAAGATTGCCCACCACTACTATAATTGAGGTTCTTTTGGCTAATATACTTGCTCACAGGGACAATGCAGCAGATTTGTTATATTAAAAAAAGGTTGTTTAACAAAAAACGGAAATGAAATACAAGTCTTTTCTGTAGTAGTGTTCATACTTGGCACGACCTTCCCTGGAAAGTACAATTAGCACCCTTTCTCCTTGTATTTTGCAAAGTAATACAAAACTACTGTTCCAATGTGCATTTGACCTAATTTTATAATGGATATGCACAGGCATTGTATTTTTAATAATTGGATTATTTTCTAACTTATTTCTACTCTGTTATTCATTGCCCAATCTTGACTAGGTGTTCTATACATATTGTAAAAAAAATGCATACGCATCAAACTGTTTCCATGGTGAAAAACTGTTTTTAGCACAAGAAAATGTGTACATTTTTAAATCATACATTGTATACTATCAATGAAATTAAGTGATGAAGTAGTACAACTACTCATTGTCCTCGAGTTAATGGATTGCGAAGTAAAAGCTTAAATAGCAGCTGCAATTTTAATCTATAAAGCCATTATCTTTGAAGTCAATTTAAATCAATACCTTTTTCTTTCCTATAAATCTAGGCTTGCCCAAAGGGCTCTTAAAATAATTCCTTGAAATCAACCTAATACCTGCCCCCTTAGAAAAGCCAAAGTGTGTGCCATTGGAAAGGGACAAGACCATCTCTTCTACCAAATTTGAGCGGAGTAGGCTGGTTTGAGAGGGTACGTGATAAGACAGCAGACCATACTTCCAGCTTTGCTGTTGCTCTGCATTCACCAACTCCCTTAAAACAGTCCTGGTTTGGGAAATTGTGAGAATTCCCAAGGGGTTAATGATCCATGCTTTTCTCCAGAGTCAAGCAATTTTTCAATAGTTGGGAGAGTACTAAGCATGCTGAGATGAAGGTATGGCATAGTGGCAGGTATGCTCTTTCCTTTGTTTGTTTGTTTGTTTTTTTACCTAACTTGACATTCTGGCCACTGATCCCAAGTCTTATAAAGTCTTATAAATTGGCAGCCTATAAATTTTATAAATAAATAAATAATAAAATCAAGCAAGCAAGATATTGATGCTTATTTACAGATATTCAAGTTTAGAAAGTGACGTGAATAACAAAAATAAGCATTGGCAGTGTTTATATTCACAAATGATCAAGATTATTGACTTATCCTGATCTATTATGAATGAGCAGTATGCTGGTGTTTGTTATTCTCCTGTGCTTTTCTTTATGAGAATAGGATTTGTTTCGAAATCATACTTTGCAATCAATCTTTGCAAGCAATTCTGCTTATTATAATTTGTAAATCTTCACGGTTTTGGGTCCAGGCATTCCTACTAAAGCAAGCAAGAGACACAGGCAATTTCAATTCAATTGTGAGCAAAATTGGTATTGCCTGAGAGTTTCAGACAAAGAGATGGATTTTAACCTCTTGAGAGTTTATGTTCAATAATTTTGTTAATCTTTAAACTTCTATAGAAACTTTGGTTTGACTTTGTTGACAATAACTTCTTGAAGTTTCAAATCCCTAAAAATACACAATGATTTCTATTACAACCGATAGAACATTTCAAAATGCTTTATTTCTGTTCTCTAACTGCTGCCATTTGGTGAATGACAGCATTTTAGTGTAAAAACTCCATACTATCATGTAGCAGTTTCTATTAAGTAATCCTAAATTACTTAATAGAAATTTCCTGGGAAAAGTGAATGTGAATTGGAACTAAAGCAAGCAATGAAGCTATTGCTTTAAGTTGGCAAATAGTGCACTTATTTATTTAGCCTGAGAGTATTGAAAGTTTTAATACGAAAAGATGCTAAGAGATTAGAAGAGAGCTCTGATACTTCTCAGAAAAGACCTTTGGCTTCAAAGATATGATAGCAACATGTTGTTTCTGCATGATGCCTACTGTTTCACCACAAAACTCAACAATCAAATTCTGTTGGGTATGTATGGATTTTCAATCTGGGCTAGATAATACAGTACCACAGTCAACATGAGCTACTGTAGTTTTTAAGATTATAGGAACATAATATAGGAAGTTGAATTTATGTTTTGCTTTGACATCCCCTCATTCATTTTTCTGCTGATTGCCTTATTAAATTAAGGTTTAAATGTAATTTGATTTTGCGCTTCCACCGTCATGTTGCTCACGAAGCAAAATGATAGCAAGGAACATAAAAATGTTGTTTTGTTTTCTTTTGGCAGGGGCAATTTTCTCTTTAGTTTAATAATGTATGAAAATGCAACTTAAATGAAATAATGTCTTTTTTAGATTAAAACAAATGTTGATGCCAATATATATTGTACATTTCAAATTACAAATTTAATTTGGGGGGGGGGGGAACTATGTCTCCAACATCTTTTTTTAATGCAGTTACTGCAAATATAACATTAGCCTTCCTTTACTCCAAGTCCATTTCTATTTTATAGGTAAGTATTTAGTAATAAATTCATTAGATATACTTCAATGATTATTGTTAAAGATTTAAACCAATTTTTAGAAGTCAAATGTGAATATTATCAAGTGAATGCAAAAATAAATAGTAGGTGATATGCTGGTTGCCTTTATGTTTTAGATTTAGTGCTTCTAATGGAATTTAATCAAATCAATCTAGATATTATAAAGGTATAGTAGATTTGGGACTCCTGAAGTGAGTATGTAATCACTCCAAAAGCAAAATGTTATGTATTTCTGAATCCATTTGTATCCATCCTACTTAATCCTAATTCAATTTAATAACTTAAGCAAAATTAAGCAAAAAAATATGACATATTTGGAATAAATTCTTGTTATGGGAACGTGTTAAGTTAATAATTTTATATATATATAAATGAAAATTTTAATTAGATCATCATCATCAATCAATCCATGGCAAAGAAATGGAGAATGTATATTAATAATTTCTTAATTATTATTTCTTAATATTCCATTAACTTTCTATAATTCTTTAAACTAGACAATAATAACTAGATTTTAATATAACTGCAAAGTCTAAGAAAGTTTCTAGGAAAGAAGTTTTAGAATGATTCTAGGACACCCTTAAATAATAAGCCTGTTCAAGATTTTCCCCCCGTTTTTTAAAATAGATAAATCCACTTGTATAGAGAATTTGAAGGAGAGTACTTACTAATTTGATCCTTTTCTTTAGGATTGGATCTACTGAATGGTATCTCAGAAACACTGCAGAAGTATTACTTATTAATACTGAAGTTACAGTGATAATTATTAATGTTAACTAAGACTGAATTTACCACAAAGGATCCATTGAAAGACAATAGTCAAATACCTTATTTCAAGATGTTTTAAATGAGACAGATATTGAAGAAAGAAATAATTCTTCAAAAAAGGTCAAATTAAGAGATGGGTGCACAAGAATAACAGAGCTGTTACTCTTTAGGTGCACAATATAATAATAATATATTACCCTGGTTATCAGACACCAAATTAATT